TTCCAGCCCGGCTCTGGGGCCTACCCAGCCTCTTCTACAATGGGTACCGGGGTCTTTCCCGGGGGTAAAGCCGGCCGGGGCGTGATGCTTACCACTCACCCCCATCTAGTGCCGAGGTCAAGAAAGAGAGGAGCTATACCTCCACTCCCCCCAAGCGCTTACATGGCGTACAGTGGGACAAACTATACTTTACAAGGTTCATAAATGTAAAATTAGTACGTACAAGACTGAGCCTGCCATCTATGACTAAATGAACACACTGACCGACAGCCGAGAACGATCGACATTACAGCACGCTGTACCACTGCAAAATTCAGTTTGCAATCTGTGAGGTGATGCTCCCTCTGTAACAGTGAGAGGCCCAAATAATTTTGTATTAACATAACGCTGGTTAAACCAAAAGAACAGGCAACTGTAGGTATAGCGTTCATCTTATGGACGAGAAAATAGGCCCACAAGATTTAAAGTTGAAGATGGATACAGTATAATTTTTTTCCCAAAAATGCTGTATCTACCTACAAATCCAGTCGGCTTTGGTATCTATTAGACCAACATCGACAAAAATACAATTTTATACGTGGATAAAGGAATGAATATGATGCAGTACACGGAGAAGAAATTAAATTATAATTTCCCGAAACGGGGAAGTCCTGTATAAAAAGACGGGATCTTTTTACTAGGACTCAGAAAAAGTCAGAAAAAAATTACATATTAATAGGCAACCGTTTTAATGTCAGAGCCAGCGCTAAGCTAGCTTCAAATGTTAATATTAATAAGAGTGACCGTCACAACCAATTACATAAACAAAATTAACATATCTGAGATATAAAAGTGAACACAAATTTACCTGGGCTGCACTTGGAATTAAAACAGCCGTTGACTATAGTTTTTGATTAAATTACATAATCTGTTACAAGACACAAAAGTATTTAAAGGAGATTATTACTGTGCTACTTGTTTTTTGGGATTGAGTTTACTCTGTTTTCAGCTATTTTCAAAATATATCTGATATTCCTAAAATTAAATTATTAGATTTTCTCTATTATGCATATTTTATTCTGTTCCGCTGCTTTTGTTATGTTCTGTCCTCAAGCCATTGCTTCTGTTTCCATAACTAACTTCACTGAGCATAGTCCTTGAAAAGCTAACAGGGCACTCGGCTAATCACGATTACTTTTATGGAACCGAGACGTTTAACACACTTTCCACAAGAGCCCGCCACCAGTCCCTATCCTGAGCCAGATAAATTAAATCTACGAATCTATTTTCCTAAGACCCATTTCAGTGCTCAATGGCATAACAAATTGTTTGTATTCCGTACACTGGTCTCTTTTCTGAGCGAGATGAATCCATTGCACACCGCCTGAGGCTTCCGTAACTTCGTGATTTTCTTTACGGTGAGGAGTTGTTGCCGTCAGTCCTAACCGAAAGACGGGAGACTACATTGGTGAGCTACGTAAGACTACTTATTCAATATATTTAGAACTATCGTCCATCTTGTCAACACGGCATGACGCGAATAAAGGAGACGACCTCCAGATGTGGAGATATCACCGTACTGAATGAAGTGGCGGACTGCTGACAAGGACGGTCCTTCAATTTTGGGAACAACTCCTTGCCGTAGACTAGATTCAACTAACTCAGGACATGACTCAGTGGCGGGTTCTTGTGAAAACGGTGAATGCTTTTAGCTTCTCAAGATGCGAAATGAAGGAGTCAGTTACAGTGGTATAGATAACAATAAAGATAATTTTAGTGAGGCTCTTATGGGTCTATGAAAGCTAGTGATTCAATGACTAGAGGTTCTTTCGGAACCCCAAGTCAAGCTAACATTAACTATTTGAATGCAGATCCTGTCCACATAAAACTTCAGTTCCTAACTACAACAACACGCAACGATGTTTATATTGTCTGGAAAAATAGTAGCTGTTTATTCTGAGAATCATACGAAACCCACAAACAGACCTACACTCTGTGAGCCAAATACAAAATTATTGGAGAATGACGCAGATAATATCACATTTGTCGCTATTTTTAAAGAGTTGCTCTAAGATATTCGAATTTAAATCCGGATATTCCAAGAACATTTTAGCATTACGATCACAATTAAGTTCTCTCACGAGCAGAGTTAGGACGTTTGCTCAACCCTGTCTCACTGAGCGCAAGACGACCTGCAGGTGAAAGGACCGGAAACTCTTGTCCTACAAACGGCGAACGACCTCGCATTCTGGGGTCCCACAACAAATCATTAGTCCCCTTAATGTGAAAGGGCCTCTTCTCTTGTGTTTCTTCGCATCGTCTTATTTCTTCACGAATGACAGACATACTGTTGTCTGTATGGATTTATAATTAATTGTGAGACGATACATCGCGGTACTCATTAAAATCTCTTGGAATCAGCCCATGCGAATGCATCTGTAAAACGAGACAACGAGAAGCAGATGTTCTTTGCGTGTTCCATGTGATGAAAGTCTAAGAGAAAATAAACACTCAGTGCGAAGTACAGAGTGTATTGGCTCAAACGCTACTGCTTCTAATTTCTATTCGTGAGTTGCCTAATCCGAATTTCGGAAGGGACAGCTACTATTCAGACTCAAGCTATCATTGTTTTTACTTAGCAGTATCACCTTGCGGCAAATGCCTTTGTCACATAAAAATCACGACACCTTCCTCCTCAATTTCACAGAACGCGAGATCGTCCTCTTAAATAATTAGATTGTAAATAAAGCTGCAGTTGAGACAGCATCGTTGAAAACCCTGTATTCCACCCACGCACCAAACAGTAGAAAGTGGATTATGTTAATTAATGTGTTGAAACAAATTAAATTTTATACATAAAGTCGTGTGAAGATGTCAGATGATTTTGATTGAAACTCATATTCCGTGTTGGAAAAGAAGAATCCTCTCATTTGGTCATGGTCTGCTTTAAAGTATTATCTCAGCCTAATGGTACTGAGGAAAATCACAAGTCTCAGTAACCATAGTCGACCTTGGGCTGAGATTCGGTCAAGC